CCCGAGAGAGAATTTTTAATATTTATTTTTTAGTTCTCGGAGGACACAACATCTTTGTTGGTATGTGGTGCTGGGGATCAAACCCGGGCCGCACGCATGCCAGGCCAGCGTGCTCACACTGCTCGAGCCACATCCCCAGCCCCCATGTGAAATATTCTTACAGAGACAACTGGGCAGCAGACTTGGAGAGCTGCTAGAATGAAAAAGAAAAACAGAATTTTTAGGAAAAATATTTCTAATAAAAACAGAAGAATAGATTATCTCATTTGATTAATTGTATTCAAAAAGGATTTACAATCCTATCAGTTTGGGATATGTTTGTGATGGGTACTTAACAATTGAAGCAAAGAAAAAATGAAAAAAAACATAAAAATTTGTATGACAAATGGAAATTTAATGGTAATTTTTTTACTTGAAATATGATAGTATAATTACTATTTTATATAAACAACATAAGATCTACTCTCTTAGCTATTCTTAAGTAGGGGGTTAAATATATGCACATTGTTGTGCAGCAGGTTTCTAGAGCTTTCTCATCCAGTGTAATTTTAAAAAGTCTGTAATATTTTTTTGTAAAGATAGTTTTTTCAACATAAATGTTAATTTTTGGACTCTTGGTTCTTTCTAATATTTTGTTGTAATGCTGAGTATTGTACTAAATTTTTGTCCACATCTAGATTGGTTCTTCAAGTTAAATTCCTGAATTAATTGAGATACAAATTCTTATTAATCCTTAATAATATTTGTTCAGTCATTTAATTGACCCTGAATACACATTGTGGTTTGTTGTCCCAAAACTAGCCATTTTGATTCAGTTGATTTTGGGTGGGGCCTGGACATTTGTATGTTTCAGAATCTTCACAGATATTTAGGAACCTTTGCTCTAAGTAATTAAGATAAGTATTGTGGAAAATGTATATTTGGATAGTTTACATAAGATATTTGGAATGTATACCATTTTGAATTAATATACTTAGAATAAACCTTTTTTTTTAACTCCCTAGGAACGAATGATTACACACTTTGAAAGGTCCAAAATGGAGTAAAGGATGGGAAGATCTGAAGTTGAAGATGGCTAGTATCAGGGAAGAGATCAGCTTCTTTGTCAGTCTTCTCCATTGTTCCATGGGATTAAAGGAGGCAGTGACATCCTGATCTGTTCCTTGGTCTGTGTGCATTGGAGCTGGCAAGAGGTGTCAGAACAAGGAGAATATCTTATTGAAAACACGTTCATAGGATGAGAAAAATCTACAAGCTTATTTACAACATTGATGCCCTTTCCCTCCCAAATCCTGACGTGGATGTTTATGCAACTTATGTGTTGTTCCTGAACTTTATATGTTTCAGTTGTTTAATATGTCAAACTAAAAGGTTTAATGTCTTCTAAAGGACTTTGCCATCAACACCATAATATGTAATCTCCAGGAGCAACTGCCTGTAAATTTTATTTATTTAGGGAGTTGCATAGGTCATAGGGGAGATTGTTAATTGTCTTTCAGTTTTCTGGGAAGTTTAGGTCACATCTTGCAGAGGTAGTTTTGAATAAAAAGAGCCCTTCTGAGTAAAGGAGCTATGGTTCTATCAATGATCAAAAGGGGAAAAAAGGAGAAAAAGAGAGAAACAGTTACAGTGAGATTCAGATCATTTACAAAAAAGGAAAATCAAGTGCAATTTTGTTTACAAATGGTGTATATTAAAGATTTTTCTATTTCAGATGTACTTTAAAGAGAAATATTAGCATAACTCTTTTGACATCTGCTATTGTGACACATCCCATTGCTGGCAATGTGGTGCACACTCTAAGACTTTTAACTACTGTTTTGTAAGCCTCCAAGGGCAGCATTGTGGAGTCTAGGCAATGCTTTGTTTGCCTTCATGCCATTCTTTGGGGTTGCACTAGATGCCCAGAGGCACTGCATCTAAGTGCTATGATTGAACACCCTGCTAGAGGGACTATAATGCCTCAGGGGAGCTTATAGAAAGGAAACAGATACTGCTGGCTTAAACAGTTATTCTTGCATGAAATAGTGGGGAGGCCCTGGACTGCTGCTTGCTCTTAGGATTGACTGTTCTAGTGTCTGGTGTTAATTTGAAGACTGTTTATAAGGGATATCACAAGGTGATGGGATTCACTTGAAGCACTATATTTCTGTTTTAATGGTTTTTTCCAATTTTGCCTTCCCAAGATTTTTGTTCTACATAAGAAGTCATGCCACTTTTTAATATAAAAAATTTTAACAAAATTAATGTATTTTTTCTCATTTATTTCAGTTTTTCTCTGAACACCCTTCTTCTAAACTTCCTCTTGTGGAAATTTTCTTTTCATTGCTTTTACTCTAGATTGTTTTATTTTTTTATAAAAACCACTGACTACATGACCACAGTTTTCACTAACTCATACTATATAGTCAGAGTGTTTATGTTTATGTAGTATTTCTCTCGCTTTTTAACAATTTTTTATTTACTTAACAATGTAGGAACTTTGCAGCCATCAGTAGTTCTGGTGCAATTGGAAATTTGGGAAAATTGGTGGAGCTGTTAATGCAGTGAATCTTGTAGGTAAAATATATGCATACTTTTTTTTCTTAATATTTTTTAGTTGAAGATGGACACAGTACCTTTATTTTATTTATGTATTTTTTAACGTGGTGCTGAGAATTGAACTCGGTGCTTCACATGTGCCAGGCAAGCACTCTACCACTGAGCCACAACCCCAGCCCATGTGCATACTTTTGATAGCACATATGCCTCCATATGTGCTATCAAAAGGCATATGTGCTCTTAAAAGTTGACTTTATTGGTTTTATTTTCAGCAAACTGATGTTAGGCCATTCAACATGAATTTTATTGTCCTGATATTAGTTCATGTTCTCTTTTTATAACAAATTAATGATCAACAGAAGATACCAATTTAATATAAAAAGTATCAGGGCCTTCACAGCCACCATAGGCTTTCTACTTTCCATTATGTTATATTCTTGCAAAAGTCTGCTTTGGTTCCACAGGAGCTTTAGTTTCCTGGTGAGATAGTGATACAGAATGTGTCATCCATTCTGTCTGGATGAGGCTTATGTAGCATTTCTCTACAACTCTTTGCTGTAGTAATTTTTTAAAAAGCAACCTACACAAAATCTCTTAAAAAGAGTGACAGTATGGGGCTGGGGATGTGGCTCAAGCGGTAGCGCGCTCGCCTGGCATGTGTGCGGCCCAGGTTCCATCCAACACCACATACAAACAAAGATGTTGTGTCCGCCGAAAACTAAAAAAATAAATATTAAAATTCTCTCTCTT